TGTGAAATATAAACATGGAGGAATGAAAACTGCTGTGCTCATACTAGGTACTCTTTAGTACACATATCCTATACATAATAACTTTCTTTTTCTTCTAAGAAAACCATATTCCAAACTGGTCTAATGTACGATAAGAAGAATTCTGGCGTGAGAGGGGGGACACCCTGTCCTAACTAACTAGCATAATCTACATATGCTTACATGATCACCATAAATGCATATCTAATCCTGGACACCATAAATGCATATATCTAATCCGTGACTAATTTACCATTTTGAGTGTTGTTTTTACATGTTGCAGGTACATTGGCTTTTGAGAGCATGGCAAGTCTTGCCCTGGCTGTGAACTTGGTTACCTACTTCAATGAGGTCATGCACTTTGAGCTAGCAGATGCAGCTAACGAACTCACCAACTACATGGGAACTGGCTTTATTCTGTCCATTCTCATGGCCATCCTTGCAGACACCTTCTTTGGCAGATTCAAAATTCTTCTTATTTCCGGGTGCTTCGAGTTTGTGGTATGCACAAAATACTCAAATTACTCACATAAATCGCAGAAAATGCACAAATATAACGAGTTATGAACCTTTAATGAAATAGAACCGGATGGATGCTAAATAGACAATAAAATAGCTCTAAATTGTGTTGGATACAACTTATTGTCTGTTCAATGACCCTCGGTTCTATTTTTCAATTCAAAGTTTGTAAACAGTTCTATTTGTGTATAATTTGCAATTCAATAGTTTTTTTTTTTTTTTATGCATATACGTGTTGTAAATTTTCATTTCAGGGACTAGCACTAATGACTGTGCAAGCTCACTTCCCTAAACTCAGGCCACCAGTCTGCAATGTCTTTGATCCAACTGCTAAATGTGAGAAAGTTGAAGGTGGAAATGCCGCCCTTCTTTTTATTGCTCTCTACACGATGGCTGCCTCCGCTGCTGGGCTGAAGGCCACGTTGCCATCACACGGTGCCGATCAATTTGACGAATCAGACCCGAGAGAGACAGGGCAGATGTCTAGCTTCTTCAACTTTCTGTTGCTATCTGTGTGCTTGGGTGGTGTAGTCAGTGTAACCCTAATTGTGTGGGTTCAAGACAATAAAGGATGGGATTGGGGATTTGGGCTCTGTACCATCGCCATGTTCTTGGGCGTGGTTATCTTTCTTGCAGGATTGCCGGTGTATCGGATACAAGTTATCAGAGGAACTAGTGCCATAGTTGAAATTGTACAGGTTTGTTTCTTTTGTCAACTCTATAAACACTAGTTCCAAGTCTGTCTTTCTTTTCTCCGTTTTTTTTTTTTTTTTTTTTTCTTTTTTGCTTCATACAAGCGAATACTAAGGTGGGGGAAATCAAAAACAAGATTTGGGTGTAAAAACCTTACTAAGTCACTACGTATATATTTCTTTTTCCTATTGGTGTTTATAATTAGTAAGGCCGGTAAAAGGAAGATTCTTAATGATTGCTTCCAAATATACTTGTTAAGATCAAACGTTAATCACAACTAGCTGAGTTGTTGCTCATGTCCGTTTCAGGTGTATGTTGCAGCCATCCGTAACAGAAATCTTAGCCTTCCAGAAGACCCCGCAGAATTGTATGAGATTAGTAAAGACAAGGAAGCTTCTCTTGAACAAGAATTCCTACCTCACAGACCCATTTTCAGGTACCTTTTAAATTTTTACCAAAACATAAGATCTTCACCCTTTAAAGGACACCAATTGTGAAGCTTCAATTTCACTACTAACTTCCAGATATCTGATATGTTATGTTATCGGTTCAACTGGATTAGGACCGAGCATTCAGTCAAATTTAAACCTAATCTTCAATTCTCATTCAGTCTCACAATAAAACATGCCAACTTGTTTGGTAACACATAATTGAATTTCTATTCCCGTCATAAGAAAACTTCTTGTTATTAGTTCCTTGCCTAACACATAATTAAATTTCTATTCAGGTTTTTGGACAAAGCATCCATCCAAAGAGGGGAAGTTGATGAACAACAGCCTCCAAACCCATGGAAACTTTGCAGAGTCACACAAGTGGAAAATGCAAAAATCCTCCTAGGCTTGGTCCCAATATTTTGCTGCACAATTATAATGACTCTATGCCTGGCACAGCTCCAAACCTTCTCAATCCAACAAGCTCTCACCATGGACACGAGCATCACCAAACATTTCAAAATCCCACCAGCCTCACTCCCCATCATCCCCCTGGCCTTCCTCATCATCATAATTCCTGTCTACGACCGTGTCTTCGTCCCCATTGCAAGTAAGTTCACCGGTATACCCTCTGGCATAACGCACTTGCAGCGCATAGGGGTAGGGTTAGTTCTCTCATGTGTTTCCATGGGTGTGGCTGGAATCATGGAAGTTAAAAGAAAAGATGTGGCAAGAGAGCACAACATGCTGTTGGCAAGGCCGGTCCTGCAGCCATTGCCAATCAGCACATTCTGGCTGTCTTTTCAGTACTTCATTTTTGGAATCGCCGACATGTTCACTTACGTGGGGCTTCTTGAGTTTTTCTACTCGGAGGCTCCCAAAGGGTTGAAATCAATTTCAACTTGCTTTTTGTGGAGCTCCATGGCACTAGGGTATTTCTTCAGCACCATTTTGGTTAAGATTGTGAACAATGCAACAAGGGTAACACAAAAAGTGGAGGCTGGTTGGCTGGGAACAACATTAACTTGAATCATTTGAATCTTTTCTATTGGTTGCTTTCATTGATGAGCTTGATCAACTTCTTCATCTATGTGTTTGTTACAAAGAGGTACAAGTATAGGCCCCTGGGAGCCCCATGCTAGTTTCAAAGAAGAACAAGAAGGAAATTGAGGTTAACGAGTTCTGAGAGGATTCGAAAAAAAGGAAAAAAAAAAAAAAAAAAAGAAAAAAAAAGAAACAATAGCAGCTATTATATACATATGGTTTAATGTAACGTGTGAAAATCGGATAATACATCTTCAATCAAAAATGCTAAGGAGACTCTTAAGATTGAAAAAAATTACACAAGGTACATTATGTTGCATCTGATTTGAATGGGAGGGAAATCAGTGGTCATAATTAATCTAAGGTAAAAATTGAAAAAAAAAAAAAAAAAAAAAAAGGGAATTCTTTTATTATTCCATTAATACCCAACCATCTTCTTCATTCCCAACACCACATCATACCACAACTCAAAATCTATTTTTACTACAATCTCCTATTTTTGTTTTTTCACTCTTCATATTTTTTAACAAAAAAAAAAAAAAAAAAGAGTGAAAAGGCAAATTGAGTGTTGGGTGTGTGTTTCTCAAGACCCAGTCATGGGAAATGAGATGACGGAAAAAAAAAATATATGGAAGAATATTCATGCACACTTTGTCGATAGTTCATACATAATTCGACGATGCAAAAGATTAAAAAATTCATGTGCGAATAGTCCCTACCTATCTAGAGTTGCACAAAGACAAATATTATTTCTAGTGAATGATAAAGACGTATTACGTACCCTTACTTGCATCTATCCTCCTCAAACGAATAGAATTGCTCTTGTATTGCAGGCCAGGACGATAGAGGTAACGGACCCATTACATGTACCTGGATCGTAGCCATTTGTACATTCGTGCCCTTTTAGATCAAAGAGCACATATAACGTTTGTGACTTTCCATGGGTATCCTTAAAGCATTTTCACTCCTAACAAATGTGCTAGCTCAAAGTCTATTTTTCAGACCAACACCCCCTCCTAAAAACCCACTTCACCCCACCCAATAGGCTGGCCCAAAGTAGAGGCCAGCTTTGAGTCCAGCACATAATGAACTGAGCAAGAGGCTGGCCTACATGACGTCAGGTTGACGTCAGCCATGTGATTTTTTTTTTTTTTTTTTTTGCCATTGGTGTGTGGGATACACAAGTGTATGAGCGTGCGTTCTAGCATTAAAAAAAATGTTAGAATCTTACCGTAGGCCATCTGTTCACTTTTGAGCTGTTGGATTTAATCATTTTTTAAATCTAATGGTCCAGATTAATTAACTTAATAAAAAATTATAAAAATGTTTAAAAGACAAAAAAAAAATATTAAAAGAATTATATATATATATATATAAATACCTAACCATCTTTCACAAAAATTATACTTTTGAAAAATGACTACATGATGTGAAAATATTGGTTAAAAATTCTATCCGAAATTAAAAATAAAATTATTTTTTATTATTTTATAAAAAAATTTAATAATATTTTAATACGAATTGACTAGACTCTTGCTCAACTTATTTTTTAGAAATATAAATACATTTGATCAATTACTGTTCATTAGAGTTAATTACAATTTATTTGAATGAATTAAACGTACTTTGAGCCAATTCATATTTTAGAGGTAGAATTACTCTTATAGTGCGATTTTTAATACGACCCACGCTTGTTTAAGGTCAGCCTAGCACGACTCAACCCGAAGACAACCTATCCTTTTGGATTGCATCAGACCGGACCGGACCGGACAAACCGAATCAAAGATTCTGACCGAACACAAGTACCAAACGAACTGTACAGATATCAGTGTTGCTCCACTCTTTAAGCTCACCTCAATATATTTAGAAGCCACCAAAGCAACCTAAGTACTTAGAAGCCACTGTGATTTGAAAAAATTGCAAAACTCAAGGAAATGAAAAATAAAGACTTATCGTATACTATAATCATCATTTAATTAATTAATTTTTCTTAATTATTAGTTTATTAAATAATAAACTAAATTTAAAATTTTGATTAATTCAAATAATGTAGCTGTCCATATTAAATTCCACCTAAGATGATATGAAAATGTGGTACAAAAACATGATATGAATATCATTCCTCTAATCTTCCACATTTGGCAGCCTCAACTCACAAGCCTCGGCCACCTCACTCCTCCCCATGCAACATGCAGTTCCACGTGGAAGCCTCCCAAAACACCCACGTACGTTCCCATCCACTTATTTATTCCTCCTCCCTCTGAACTCTGGTTATTTAGCAGTTATAACCAGAGATACACGCAGACTAGACTGTATATTTGAGATCAGAAGCAAGACACAACGTCGTTTTGAGATGGCTTCAAGTGACAAGACACCGACTCCGAACCCCGCCTCCAGGCCGGGAGATCAGCCAACGCCTCCGGGGAAGCCGATGACGATGGAACAGCACAGTCCTGGACAAGGGCGCCGAGATGATGCAGTCCCTCAAGCCGGTGAACCAGATGAGCCAGCACGTGTGCACTTTTGCTCTCTACAGCCACGACATGACTCGTCAGATCGAGACCCACCACTACGTCACTCGCCTCAACCAGGACTTCCTCCAGTGCGCCGTCTACGACTCTGACGACTCCCACGGCCGCCTAATCGGTAAGATTAATTGACAAGTAACAATCCAATTAAAACCAAGCCAATTCGTTTTTGGGCTTCTTCTTTTCTATTTTTGGTCGATTAGGGTTAACTAAGGCTTAATTTGCAATTTGTCATGTTTGTGCAGGTGTAGAATATATTGTGTCTGATAAGATATTTGAGTCGCTGCCTCCGGATGAACAAAAGCTTTGGCATTCACATGCTTACGAGATCAAAGCCGGCCTCTGGGTCAATCCTCGGATCCCTGAGATGATTGGCCAACCTGAGCTCCAGAATTTGGCCAAAACTTACGGCAAATTCTGGTGCACATGGCAAGTTGACCGAGGTAAGTCACAAGATAACGCCGCTTGGCACATGCGCTCAAAACTTAGGGCACTTGTGTTCATAAGAGCTGGAGATAGAATAATTTTTTGTATAGAAAGAATAGTTACTTTGATTAGGTACATGTTTTTTTCTTCTAAAAATTAAATTAGTTACTTTGATTTATTATTGATGAAGTTGTGGGTTGTTACAATTAGGTGATCGACTTCCACTGGGAGCACCGGCCCTTATGATGTCACCTCAACCGGTGAATTTAGGCATGGTGAAGCCGGAGTTGTTGAAACGAGGGATGCCAAATACAACATATCAACGGATGCCTTGAAGACATCGAGGGTGGAGATTGCGGAGCCAGAGTGGATCAATCCGCAGGCGGACTACTGGAAGCTGCATGGCAAGGGTTTTGCGGTGGACGTTAAGCAAACCGAAATGAAGAAAATCACACCCTTTCCATAGACGAGCATGCATGGTTTTAGTATACATAACTAGAAGAGTACCGCCATGAATAAAAGAATAAAATGTGTGAATGCTGCCTGGCTTTTGTATGTACAAACTGTGGATCTGGATCTGTGGTTTGGCTCTTTTGGGTTGTGTGTAGCCTGTACTGTTCTTATCTATACATTGAAGTTCCTGTGCATTAATATTTTCGGCCTCTACGCTCTTCGAGCATGTAGCCTCTAATAATTGTTGTAGGTAAAATAAAAGTAGGGTAAAACTACAGTACGTCTAAGTTTTGACTTTAAAGTGATTTTTCAAATACCATAAGGTTTCATTTTCTCACTTGCATCATAAGGTTTTGTAATTGTATCGGTTTAAATCTTTGTCTATTTGAACATCTAATTTTTCATCAAATTGATGAGGCTTTAGTCAATTTGGTACAAATATAGCTCACATGTCAACATGTCGCCAGTTTAATTAAGATTCAAATATTTTTTTAGACAAAATGCATAAGTTAGTTCAGTTTTTAAAACCGCAAGATGTAATGTGTGAAAAAATTCAAACTTCATGACTCAATTTGAAAGTCACGCCAGACCTAAAATATACAGTATGAACAAACAATGCAACATTTATTACTTCTCTCTTTTATTCCATTGGAAAATTTTTAACCCTAATGGCATATTCCTAGTATCCGCTTTAGATTTTGAGCCCAACAGCACGGACCACCTTACTCATGCCCTTTAGTTTCTGCTTTGGGTGGGGTAGGCTCATGCATCCTCATCGCAACAGCAACTTACTCTCACCGCATAGTGGCTTACTGAGGCCATCTTCAATAGACCCGATCAAAAGGTTATAGGGCTAAAAATAGTTTGAAATGACACGGAAACCGTCTCTAACCGAGGGCTAGGTCAAAAGGCTCGTGGGCCTCACCGGGCCAAAAATTGGAAAACATGCCAATCGGCTGGCCCAAAGGAGCCAGCCAGCCCGAGTCGGTCTAAAATTCAAAAGCAACGGTTAGCTGACGTTATGTTACAGTTGCATTTGAAGAAAAAAAATTCGAACAAATTTAAAAAAAAAAAAAAAAAAAATTTCTAATTTTTTTTTCTTCCTATAAATACCTAAGCCATTCCTACACTATTTCTTACATAATTTTCACCATTCCATACTATCTTCATTTTATTTCAATTCTTCACATTCTATTCTCTTACCTCTTCCAATAATCTTTTTCAATAATTTTCAAATGACCACATCTGTAATTAAAGGAAGGGCTTGGACCTGAAAAGAAGATGAAGCTCTTTGCAGGGCTTATAGATGGATCTCGGAAGATAGTGTGAAAGAGAGTTCTTAAACAAGTGAAGGTGTTTGGACTCGTACGTCCAAAAAGTACTATGAGTTCTAGAAGGCCCCACTCCACCGAATTCCCAAAACCACGAGAGTTGTTCTTCAAGATGTAAAAAACCATCTTCATCCAAGTTTGATAAATGGCATCAAGCAGTGTTAAAGGCCAGAAGCTGACATGAAAGCGGAGCCAATTACTTCGACGAAGTAAGTGTTTTCACAAGTTATTTTAAATATTAATTATATTACGTTTAATTTCATAAATTAATTTCCCTTAATTTTTGTAATTATATCTATAGGTACGCCAAGCGGAGGAATTGTATATGGAGGACAACTCGAAACCCTTTAGTCATCATGGTTGTTGGGAACTTTGTAAAGGGTGGGTGTTATTTGAAGATCCATCTCAAGAAAGATTTGGTCCTACGTCGGTGTTCGGAAATGTTTCCTCAAATGCAGTTGGGGATGAACATGGATCTCCTACCATTCAAGAAATAAGGGTAAAAAATCTGTTTCCAGGTGAAGCTTCCATACCTAGGGCTACAGGACGAAATAAGGCCCGAAAATTGAAGGAAAAGAGCAAGGCAATGGATGATCACGCCTTTCAAAAGGAAATGGCGTCCTCATTGCGATTAATGGTGGAGCAAAATACACTTGCCGCGGAAGAAAGGAACTGTAGGCACGAAGAACGGGCAAAACAAATACAAGAAGAGAGAGATGGATGATAAGAACATGCGAAGGAACACTTCAGATTACACTCCAATGAGTAAGACATACTTTGATAGAAAAAAGAGGGAAATTATGGCTCGACGGAAGTTGTTTAAATCTGACTATACTCTTACAATGGCGAATGAAGATGATGATTATAGTCTTTAAATTGAAGATGTTGTAGTCTTTAATATTTGAGTGGTAGTTTTAAAATTTAAGTTGTGTTTTTAAATTTGAGTTGTTGTAGTCTTTAAATTTAAGTTGTAGTTTTTAAAATAAAGTAGTTGAAGTTGTTGTAGTTTTTAATATGTCCGAAAACCTTATGTAATAAGGTAGTTTAATTTAAGTAATCATATTAATTCAATTAAAATAATAAATTATGTTTGACCTATAATCCTTTGGTCCTCTCGGTTAGAGATGATTTTTTGTTACATGGCTATGTTTGACCTATGACCATTTGGCCCTCTAAGTTAGAGATTGTATGAAATATGACCTAACACTGTTCATTAAAATATAATTTCTTGGATGGCTATAGGGTTAAAGGGAGCCCTCTAACCCTCCTTCGGTTGGAGATGACTTTACCTCCTCTTAAGTTTTTAATACGACTTCGTTATACGATCTGTCACTAATATGTAATGATAGATAAACCAATTGTTTAGACTAAATTTATAAATCATATAATGTTTCGCCAATAGAAAATAAACACGTTAATCAACACTTCTAATAATCTAATCATCAACAATCATATGATTTACAGAATTAATTAAAAGTTGGTCTCCCTAGCATTACCCTTGCACTAAAGGGTAGGGAAAATAAGTTGGCTACGAACTCGCCATTCACGAAATTTAAAATTAAAACTTCTCACTTACAAGTGAAGATAAATACTAGTAGTATTAACAGATACTAAGTGGGGAAAGAGATCCTCTCCTGATCTCTTCTACCAAGGCCACCAGATCAAGTGATTCGGGCCTTTGAAATTTCATCCAACGGCCAAAAATTATTATAGCCTTTAAGAGTTCAAAACAGGTGGGTTGTAGAATGAAATTTCAAAGGTCCAAATCACTTGATCCGATAGCCTTGGTGGAAGAGATCCGGAGATGATCTCTTTCCACTAAGTGGATACCCCTCAAAGTCTCTCTTTATATTTTTTTTTAATCCAATGTTTATCAAAACGCTTTACTCTAAACCATTATTAATCCAAGCAATCAACACCGAAAAAAAATGAAATAAAAAATAAATAAAAATCATAACAAGTGTTTTCTCTCTTCCTCTTCATCCACTTCAGCATTCCTCAGTTTCCATGGCAAACCCACAAACCACATCTACTGCAGCGGAAGTAAAGAACATCTACGCGGTGGTGGCCCTCCCGCCGGATGGCGTGACCCCAAGACTGAAGAAGCTGATGCAGGGCCTCCGTGCCGAGTTCGGTGGTCCTCTGTTCGAGACCCACATCACCGTGGTGAGGCCCATCAGCCTGACCCTGGAAGACGCCCTCACGAAGTTCCGATCGGCTTCTGAGGGTTTCAAGGCCTACGACACCAAAGTTGATCACGTGGCCACAGGCACTTTCTTTTACCAATGTGTTCCCCCTCATAAATCCGACCCCTCGGGTATTTATTTATTTAACTTTTCCAATTTCTTCCCTTTTTCTGGGTTTAATGGAAATTTAATACGAGTTAATAAAATTTGTTTCTGGGATTTTATGTTCTCAGGTGGTGGAAGCTAGTGCTCACTGCTCTGGGCATTTCGGTTTCAGAAGCTCAACTTGTAAGTTCTAATGCACTAATTTATTTTTCTTGTTAAAAAAAAAATACACAGATTTATTTTAATATTTGTTAATTTGGATTGAGATTTGAGAGCAAGTGAGAGAGGAGGAGAAAATAGATGGGGGTTCCTGCCAATTTTTCTTTTTCTGTTAATTAAAGTTGCCAAAGATTAAGTTTGAAATCTTTATGCTTTTGATCAATAGTTGGTGTTCTCTTTCAATTGGCAAGACAACGATTGAAAGCATAAATGTGGCTACTTATTATTAGTATTATCCGTGAAAAGTAAAAACGAAATGGTTATCAAACATTTACGTTGTCAGAAGAAGATAGTTGGCATCTCTCGAAAAGGTTACATTTTTGTAAGTATTAGCCAAAATAGTTGAGTTTGACATAACTATCTTCAGTTTGGTCCCTGATATTTGAAATCAAGATCCTTGAATTCGTCCGAAATCCATCATTTTGGTCTTTTCGTACCAAAATTGAGGATTTTTTTTTTTTTTTTGAAACGCAAATGATTGACGTTGGACAAACTTGAGGATATTTTTGTGATTTTAAAGTTTTTAACATAAGGATCAAAATGATTAATGTTGGACAAACTTAGAAATAGTTCTATCGATTTTAAATCATGCCAATCTCATAGACCATTTGGCTAAAATGCCTTACTTTTATAACCAAAAGTATTATTCTTGGTTTCCTGGATGGTATTCTATTTGGCCTGCAGCTTATATGCCACATTTGAGCATCCCTTATGGTGATCTGACCGACGAAGAGAAGAAGAAGGCGCAAGAAAAAGCTAACACTCTCGATGAGAGCATTGCCAGCCTGAGCTTCCCCGTTACTCGCCTTGCATTACACAAAATCAACGGCGATCACGAAGAGAAGATTGCTGAGTGCACCCTCGAATCGAACTAGTTCTCTTACAGCTGCTTATATATGAATTAACTATATAAGTTAACTTTGCAATCAGATTCTGCTTCAGTGTCCCTGTCATGTCTCGATCTTCTTCTCTTTTTCTTGGGCAAAAATTCTCTTGCGCTGGGGCATTTTTGCCAGCTTGTGTTTGTTCCTTAAGTAAATGCTTAGGGTTGGTGACCATTAATCCACTGTGACTTTAATACGTTCCCTGCTGTTTTTGTGTTTTTATTTTTATTTTTTATGAGGGTGGAGATTGCGAAGCCAGAGTGGTCAATCCGCAGGCGGACTACTGGAACCTGCATGGCAAGGGTTTTGCGGTGGACATATGAAGAAAATCACACCCTTGCCTTAAACGAGCATGCATGGTTCCGTGGACGAGCATGCATGGTTTTACGATAGATAATTAGAAGAGTACGTACATATATATGCACAGTATAATATAATTACTTTTATTTTTAATGACAACTTTCATTGAATTATAAAATGGATAACATCTAAAAAAAATTTGATTGAAATATCGTACTTTTCTTCAACAAAAAAAATTCTCATTAAATTATTGAGTATTTTTAGTTAATTTGGTACAAATATGACTTACATGTCAATCCAAAACGAATTTTATTATACAAATATTCGTAAGACAAAATGCATAAATTGATACAATTTTAAAACCTTAAGTGTAATGTGAAGAGCTAAAATCTCACTCCCCAATTTAAAAATCACTCAGCGTAAAGATACTACAACATTATTCCTGCTAGTATTAACAAACAATGCAACTTTTGTTAGTTTTCTCTTTTATTACGTGAGAAGATTTTGAACGTTGTTAATATATTCTGTCTAGTGGCTTTTCTCCTCTAAGTTTTTGGTTCAACGATATACTATATAGAAAATAAATTGATTGTGAATTCGTCATCTACGAGATTTAAACTTATATTTTTTTATTTACAAATAAAAAAAAAATACCATTCAATCGAATAGTAAGTGACTAACTTCTCAAAGTTTAGATTAACCAAGACCGTTGATCTAAAGAGTCTTAAGTCTTTTTTTATATTTTTGGACAGAATCCAAAGTCTATCATAAAAACTTTATTCTAAACCATTATTTATGCCTCGAATATGTGACCACAATATTGTATTTATTTTGCTAGAATGAGCAAATCAATACCCAAAAAAACAAAAAAAAAATCATCCCCAAAATCCTAGCAAGTGTTAGACCCTTGGGCTTCTCTCCTCCTCTTCATCCACTCCTCAGTTTCCATGGCAGACCCACTAACCGCATCTACTGCAGCGGAAGTAAAGAACGTCTACTCGGTGTGGGCCCTCCCGCCGGATAACGTGGCCGCCAGGCTGAAGAAGGTGATGCAGGGCCTCCGTGCCGAGTTCGGTGGTCCACAGTTCGAGCCCCACATCACCGTGGTGGGGGCCATCAGCCTGACTCTGGACGACGCCCTCGCGAAGTTCCGATCGGCTTCTGAGGGCCTCAAGGCCTACGACGCCAAGGTTGATCGCGTGGCCACCGGCACCTTCTTTTACCAGTGTGTTTTCCTCCTCATAAATCCGACCCCTCAGGTATTTAACTTTTCCAATTTCTTCCCTTTTTCTGGGATTAATGGAAATTTAATACGAGGTATTAATAAAATTAGTTTCTGGGGTTTGATTTTCTCAGGTGGTGGAAGCTAGTGCTCACTGCTCTGGCCGTTTCGGTTTCAAAACCTCAACCCGTAAGTTCTAATGCACTAATTTATTTTTATATTTGTTCATTTGGATTGGGAGCAAGTGAGAGAGGAGGAGAAAATAGATGTAGGTTCCTGCTGATTTTTCTTTTTCTGTTAATTAAACTTGCTAAAGATTAAGTTTGATATCTTTATGCTTTTAGTCAATAGTTCGTGTTCTCTTTCAATTGGCGAGACAACGATTGATGCATAAATGTGGCTTTGTGAAAACTAAAAACGAAATAGTTATCAAATTTTCACGTTGTTAGAAGAGGATAGTTTGCATCTTTCGCAAGCTACATTTTTGTAAGTATTAGCCCAAAATGGTCTCTGATATTGTATTAGTCCAAAATGGTCTCTAATATTGGTATAACTCTTCACTTTGGTCGTTGAAGTTGTCATAACTCCTTATTTAACGGAGATTTTTCACAGAATGATCAAAATGATTGACGATGGACAAACTCAAAAGCTAGTTCTATCGATTTTAAATCTCAGGACCAAAGTGATGAGTCAATCTTGGGAACCAGGCTAAAAAGCCTTATTTTTATCAAACCAGAAGTATTGTTCTTGGTTTAGGATTGATGATTCCTGGATGGTATTCTATTTGGCCTGCAGCGTATATGCCACATTTGAGCATCCTTTACGGAGATCTGACCGACGAAGAGAAGAAGAAGGCGCAAGAAAAAGCTAACACTCTTGACGAGAGCATTGCCGGCCTGAGCTTCCCCGTTACTCGCCTTGCATTGTACAAAACCGACACCGAAGATATAACTCTCAAATCCTGGGAGAAGATTGCTGAGTGCACCCTCGAATCGAATTAGTTCTCTTACTGCGTGTTTATGATTAAGCTTGTAATCAGGTTCTGTTTCTGTGTCCCTGTCATCTCTTGATCAAGAACATTAACAAGTTGGAGGTTTTGTTGTAATGTCAATTGTCAAGGGCTCAAAGCTGTCACAGAGGATGGGGCTTTTTAAGTAAACGCTTGGTTTGGTGATCACTAATCCACTATGGTTTTAATATGTTCCAGTTTTATGTGTTTGTTTTATGAGACTTTCAACTTAGATGTGGGTTCCTGCTAATTTTTCTTTTTCTGTTAATTGAAGTTGCTAAAGATTAAGTTTGATATCTTTATGCTTTTGATCAATAGTGGGTGTTCTCCTTCAATTGGCTGAGACAACGATTGATGCATAAATGTGGCTACTCAATATTATTTGTGAAAACTAAAAACAAAATAGTTATCAAACTTTCACATTGTTAAAAGAAGATAGTTTGCATCTTTCAAAAGATATATTTTTGTAGGTATTAGCCCAAAATGGTCTCTGATATTGTATTAGTCCAAAATGGTCGCTGTTATTAACATAACTCTTCACTTTGGTCGCTGAAGTTGTCATAACTCTTTATTTAACGGAGATTTTTCACAGAATGACCAAAATGATTGACGATGGACAAACTTAGAGGCTAATTCTATCGATTTTAAATCTTAGGACCAAAGCGACGAGTCAATCTGGAGGACCAGGCTAAAAAGCCTTATTTTTTATCAACTAAAAGTATTGTTCTTGGTTTAGGATTGATGATTCCTGGATGGTATTATGTTTGGCCTGCAGCTTATATGCCGCATTTGAGCATCCTTTACGGTGATCTGACCGACGAAGAGAAGAAGAAGGTGCAAGAAAAAGCTAACACTCTCGACGAGAGCATTGCCGGCCTGAGCTTCCCCGTTACTCGCCTTGCGTTGTACAAAACCGACACCGAAGATATAACTCTCAAGTCCTGGGAGAAGATTGCAGAGTGCACCCTCGAATCGAATTAGTTCTCTTACTGCGTGCTTATGATTAAGCTTGTAATCAGGTTCTGTTTCAGTGTCCCTGTCATCTCTTGATCAAGAACATTAACAAGTTGGAGGTTTTGTTGTAATGTCAATTGTCAAAGGCTCAAAGCTGTCACAGAGGATGGGGCTTTTTAAGTAAACGCTTGGTTTGGTGATCACTAATCCACTATGGTTTTAATATGTTCCATTTTCATGTGTTTTTTTTATGAGACTTTCAACTTAGATCCCTCTCAAATTGAATGGTTGCGTTATACAACAGGTCATAAGACAAATTTATACTAGTCGGGGTCACAAGACGGGCTTGGGTGGTTGGGGTGGGGGGAGGGGGGTTAGTGTTTTATTTTTATTTTACATATATGAAGGGAGAAGGAAAAAGGGTAAAACTTTCAATATTTTTACAACGATCATGTTTTAAAATGAACTCCCAAAAAAATAAGGGTAAAATAGTAATTTTGCATTTATTAAACGAATCTTCAAACTCGTGTTACTGCTGGATAAGTAATAACGAAATTTTTTTCAATATGCTAGGAAAACGATTTGGTACATTAAATATAATAATAAAATATGTTAATAACCTAATATTCCCTCACGATCTCCCCCGGAAAAAGGGAAAAAACCCTGGTATTCCCTTGCGGCACACTCGACAGTTCACACTGCACCCCCAACCCCAACCCTAATGGTCCCGTGGACAAGTTCGTTGGTGAGGCGCACCTAACACCCCAGCTCACTTTAAATAACCCTTCTTAACATGCACCGTCTTCGCCGTAACGTCGAAGTTTCCCTCCACGCGCTCGCCCCACGTGAAACCCACCACCAGAAAATATAAAGATGAAAGAAAAGCGTTAGAACTAAAAGCACTTTTCCTACAAATCCGTCGCGTGTATAGCAAATTGCTGTACAGAAAGCACTTCTGCTGCTACCACAGAAAAGCACTTCTGCTGCTACTACAGCAAAGCAAAATTCCAGCTTGTCTGAGAAGCTGGCAATGGACTTGAAGGCGACGCCGTTGAGATTCCCACTGGGGAGGCAGTCGTCGCTGGCGCCGGAGCGTGAGCTGGAGGAGCGCGTGGGGGAGGGGCTGGAGGATGATCCGGAGGGGATCGATCCCGGAGTGAAGCTCATGTATTTGGCCAATGAAGCTGACTTGGATGGGATTAAGGAGCTTCTGGATTCGGGAGTGGATGTGAATTTCAGGGACATCGACGATCGGACGGCTCTCCATGTCGCCGCGTGTCAGGGGCTCACCGACGTCGTTTCGCTGCTGCTTGACCGCGGAGCTGACGTTAACCCCAAAGACCGATGGGGGAGCACCGTAAGTGAAAATTTTATATAACTAAAATAAATAAATAAAAACCCCGATTACCAATGTGAAATTGAAAATTGGAGAATTAGTGTGTGTTAATTAGTGATTTGTAATAATCTAACGTTGATTAAACAGCCTCTTGCAGATGCTATTTACTATAAGAACCACGATGTGATCAAGCTTCTGGATAAGCGTGGGGCAAAGTCTCTGGTACCATTTTGATTAATTTAGCTGATTTGAACTTTTAATATTGGAAAATTAAACAAACCCAATTCATCTCAATGTGTTTTATGATTTGGGTTTTGTTTTAATTTTGTATATTATGCTTGTTTTATATTCTAATTTGTATGAATGTAACATTCAGATGGCTCCCATGCACGTTAACCATGCCAGGGAAGTCCCAGAGTACGAAATTGATCCCAAAGAACTGGACTTTACCAACAGTGTTGACATTACTAAGGTAAAATTTTTGTTTTTCGATAACTTGGGTATACGGATTTGCCATTTCTTGTTTCCCCTGTTATCAATTACCCATCTTGGAGTTGGAACCATCTTATCTTTGTATGAATTTGGGTGTTTCATAAGCATTTTTCGATTAGTTGTTTAATTGGATGTTGTGCCTTTTTTAGTATTGTTACTCGCCTTATTTGGTTCTGTTCAACCGTACGTTGCTTCACAGGGAACGTACTGTATCGCATCCTGGCGGGGAATACAGGTTGCTGTGAAAATGCTTGCGGAGGAAGTGCTTGTTGACGAGGATAAAGTGTGGGTTGACTGTAAACTATTCATGGTTTTTCCACTTCATTATTTGTAGCATTATGGTCTTTTGAATTATAAATCAATTTGGTCTTTCTTCAGGAAGGCATTCAGTGACGAGCTTGCGTTGCTTCAAAGGATACGACATCCAAATGTAGTCCAATTTCTGGGTGCAGTGACACAAAGCAGTCCAATGATGATTGTAATAGAATATTTGCCTAAGGTATTTTCCATTCCATTGGTCTTCTTAACATGGAATATTAATGCCATGGTTTATATAAGTTTCGGTTATTTCCTGAGTTCTTATTGTTCTGTATTTCAAAATAGTACCAAGAGTATATTTCATAATCTTTACTAGTAAAAGTTAAGGTTCCAATCTTATAGTGTGAAGTTGAATTTGTTACTGTTAGAACACCATCCTCTTTTGCATATGTTAGTCCTCAAATTTGGTTTTAGGCTTCCATTGAAAATTGCAGAATCAATTAGGCATGACAGTGTTAGTGGCATAGTTGTGTGAATAATAGTACTCATAGAACTTTTTACTCTGTTCAGTTCGCATTCCTCCTCCGAGGTGTGCGGAGAGAAAAATTGGAGAGGAGAACAGTCAAATTAGAGATTAAAACAAATGCAAATTTAGAGTTTTCTTTAGATCTTTATTTCTGTCTTTTTATTGCAGGGAGACCTTCGTGCATTTTTGAAAAGAAGAGGAGCGCTAAAACCAACCATAGCTGTAAAATTTGCACTTGATATTGCAAGGTGTGGTACTAGTTTGAATTGGCTTTGATTATCTTGTTCTGTATTTCCTTCACTAACAAATGAAGAGAGACTATGTACTAAATGAATGCTCGATTATTAGAAGCTACAATGTTGAAAAGTTGGTTGCTTGATTTGTGTTGTGAAAGCAAAATCATGTATTGTACTTCGATATTTCCTCACTACTTATCTTTTGATATCTTGCAGAGGAATGAGTTATTTGCATGAGAATAAGCCAGAACCAATAATTCATCGCGATCTTGAGCCTTCGTAAGTTTCTTGTTCTTCTTCAGTGGCCTTCTCTTTTACTTGGCAAGAATTAAACCCATGACAATCTAATCCCATTCCACTGAGCACTTAAGTGATTTAAATGCCAAGTGCTCTCCCTCTCCCCCATGTCCTCATTTTGCTTGAAGCATATGCTCATATTATCATTGAAATTCCAAAGAGATGAATCATTGTTACCCATAATAGCATGGAAAATTCGGCGTTTTAACTTTAGGTTGCTTACGAGTAAGATTACAGGAATATATTGCGGGATGATTCCGGGCACCTGAAAGTTGCGGATTTTGGAGTTAGCAAGTTGCTGACGACAGTTAAAGAGGATAGGCCTTTGATTTGTCAAGATACTTCATGTGAGTATTGTTTTTCTGGGAATACACCATTGTGGTTAATATGTTGCATAGATCCTAGCCAAAAAATGTTCATAGTTCATGTAGTTTCCTTGAAAAAAGATTTTATATTTTTGAGTTCGTACATAGTTTTCCTTTGCTTATATAGTTTTTGAGTGGAACGTGTTAATTGTCATTGACAGGTCGATACATAGCTCCTGAGGTTTTCAAGAATGAAGAATATGATACCAAAGTGGATGTTTTCTCTTTTGCGCTAATTCTACAAGAGGTAAATATGATTCATTTTTAAATCTGGACCAACAGTGTTTATAAAGTTGTTTGTATGCCATCATAGTGCATACACCCTCGTCTAAGTAAACGTTTGTCTTTAGTAGTAAGTTATTGTGGAAGAGCATAATATCAAATGCATCATGGATATACTAAGTTATTACTACCTGATTTGGTTTATTAGTGACTTTGTAAGAGCTGTATTGTAGATGATAGAAGGCTGCCCACCATTTGCTGCCAAGCAAGATAATGAAGTTCCGAAAGCATATGTTGTAAAAGAGCGCCCACCTTTTAGAGCTCCAGAAAAGCTTTATAGACATGGTCTGAGAGAGTAAGTGCTATATGGTTCTAAGAACAACCTTGTTCAACTTATCCTATAGTAATTTCAATTTCTGAGTTTCTTTCCTGGGAATCCTTGAATGCTTGTGGGATTTTGTCACGACTTTTGGTGTTTTCTCTTGGGAGTGCAACCAACTGCCGTTTATTTGTCAAATTCTTAGCCAGTGATTTTGGGATGCAAATCAGAATTCACTTTTTTTCAGAAGAACTTATATTTTAACCTGTGTGTATTGGGGTCATAAAACCTTAGCTAATTTTGTTAATGTGATGCCTGCTCACAGGTTGATTGAGGAGTGCTGGAACGAGAATCCAGCTAGAAGACCAGCATTTAGGCAAATAATATTGAGGCTGGAATCTATGTATAACGCTCTTGGTCATAAAAGGCGTTGGAAGGTGACCTCTTTGCTATTGCTTTGTTAACTTACACATCCCTGCATGACTAGTTACTTGCATAGCTGAATATTTCCTTCTCTCTTCGTCTCCCTCACCCCCCTCCATATAACATGTACAGGTTAGACCGTTGAAATGCTTTCAAAACCTTGAAGCCATGATAAGGAAGGATAATTCTGGTCGAAGCGGCAGAAGTCGTTCATCACGTTCTACCAGCAGCATATAAATGGGAATTGTTTCTTCATTGTCTTGACAGCCAACCAACCGAAGTTACTCATTCCCTGCTTGGTGACAAAATTTATTTTTTTGTAACATTGCTTCCTAATTTTTTTCACTCTCCCCTTGATATCCTGATATATATTCTGGGCTGAGACTGAAACATGTTTCGCATGAAACTACAGTTTGTTCGTGAGTCTTGACACCGGTAATACGGTCAACTTTGTGCTCATGCCGAGCTTTTGAATTTGTAAGATAGATAAAGGTTGCTTGTAACTTTGTATAACCTTTGGATGGTGAATGATATTGTTTTGAATTTGATTTTGTCCAAGTTTTACGTTGTTTATGTTCAAGACATTGTGAACATGAATCAACGAATCAACTAATGGTTGTTACCATCCTTATTTCTTTACACCGATGGGAAATTTTTCTAGAATGTTTTTATATTCTTGCAACGTCAGATTCTAAATTATTCTAATCTATAAGGAGAGAAAATCAAATTTTGATGCGACGAAGTGGGCATATTATCCTGGTCAACTCATCTTACTGAAAATATCTAGACTAAATAACTAATTTTGCATAGTGTGAAAGAGAGACGTTTGAGAGACAAGCCACATGCAGATTGGAGCCTTGTTCCCCGGATACCCCAACATAAGTTTGGTGCCTCTTTTGGCATTGCATGTATTGTGGTCACAAATTGGTTAGCTTATACAACAAAATCTCTTAATTTTGTGCTTTGGTAATGTAACTTTGTGTAAGCGAAATCCATTGAGAAGAGCTTATTCTCATATCATGGATCAAACTAGCCGTTGCACCTAATTATTTTATGGCTCAATTAGGCAAGAAGAGATAGTTGGACCAATTGACCAACGTAATGAAATGAGCTCATATTTTGTATAGGGTGTATTTTTCCTCACTACTCTCAAGTGATTGTGATGCTCACCACTCCATTTATTATCATTGAATGAGTTTAAATTTTGAGATATATGTAGTGGATAGACAAATTTCAAAATTTAAACTCATTCAACGATCACTTGAGAGTGATGAGCAAAAATATTTCCTATTTGTATTTCCAAATAACTCACTAGTTGGACCAACCAAATTACTTATACAAGATCTTTTGGAAGGTATCTTTTTTTTTTTTAATGATAATTTAGGAGAGAGAAAGCTTTAAACCCGGGACGCAAGGGTAAAAACTCAACACTAAGATATTGGACCACATGCTCTTTTGGAAGGTTAAAATTGGAAGAAAAATTGAGGCCCTAAATTGTCCAATTGCTTTTTCTCTTTTCTTATTTGACCTAGTTTTCAAGCAACCTAGATTCCTAACACCATGTTCTTGTTGGAAACCATTAAATTCTAAAAACAAAAGTGAAGGCTACTTCGGTAGCAGACCAACTAATTCCGCTTATTTTTCGATGTCTGCCTGTTGAGTTGTGCAGACCTCTGCTGAATTCTCCCGATAGTTTTGGTGCTGGCCGGCCGAATTCATCCGCGACCACGATGCAACCAAACAAGTGGTAAATCATGGAAAACTCAATTAAAATCAATTCATACCCCCTTTTGAGGCTCCAACTTTTGAACTCGAACGCCATCCATTCATCAACATGAACTTGGTTTCCGCTATGAAAACGTCTGAATATAGTTGGTGTTTAGTTATTGTAATAGTTACTGCAGACGTTGGGTCTACTGAGAAGTTTTTACTTGTTTATGTTAAATGCATCGCGTAACAGGGTAAGAAAATAATTCATATTTGAATTTTTATGATGAGCCTAAAGAAACAAATGATGAGTTCAAATAAAATTTTTCAACACGGAAATGGTTTAAAAAATAAACAAACGTGTTATTCTACAAACACACACACACACACAAACATATATATATATATATATATATATATATATATATGGGTGATTTTCTGAAAAATTAATAAAAAAGTTACAATATTAACAATAAATCAATAATATTTATGTTAATTATAAATAGGTCAATCATGTATTGTGATACTTAAACGCATAAAAAATAAACAAAAATTACAAAATCTACAACTACAACTGGCATCCACTTTAACTAACACACCTTTTTCATAGTTTTATATTTGGAATAAGTCAATACGGATCAAACACGGTAATGCAGTGTCTGTATCCTGATTTTCTTTTTACATTTGGATTCAGACATTGCGTTGCAGTGTCTATTTATTGGTTTCATTTTTTCCATCACTCACACGCCTCCTACATGTTCCTTTGTACATTTGGATTTAGACACTGCAATGCAGTGTTCGTTTCCTGTTTCGTTTTTCACTTTTAGATGCAGATGCTGTGTTGCAGTATCCGTTTTCTGGTTCTATTTTTTCCATCACTCACTTTCTCCTACACTTCACACCTCATGAGATTCTTGATTTTTACATTTAGATTCAGACACTATAATGTAGTGTCTGTTTCCTAACTCTATCTTTTACATTTAGAATCAGACATTATAACGTAGTGTCTGTTTCTTGGTTCTGTTTTTTTATACTTGGATTCGGACACAGCAATGATGTGTCTGTTTCCTAGTTCCCTTTTCTTTTCTTTTTTAGTTGAGTAGACTCCTTCATGTAAATGAAGGGCGAGAGAGAAAGAGAATGATAAAATATACATGTTGTAACTATTTATAGGATTAAGATCCCTTCAAGATCAGTTCCATAAGAATAGAAATCCAACGGCCAAAGCCTCTTCCTCCGCCTCTCCTCCCCCTCAACTCCTCTTTCTCCCCCACACGGCCCCCATACCCCAGCATTGTTAACAAAACCCCAAATTCAATTGCAGTTCACTTGTTCTAAGTCTGATTTATTTTTTTTGCCATCCCTTACTGTTTTTTAGCTTTTTATTTGTCATCTCTCTTTCTTCTTCTTCATCTTTTAGATTTCTCTCTCTCTCTCTCTCTAATTCTTCCATAGTTATGAAAAAGATATTTGCAACGAAAAGACATTGGTTTGCACAACCCCTATCTTTGTTGTTTCGTTAACATCGGCTGAGATTGTAAGGTTAACGGATTTGGAATTGAGGGATGTGGTGGTGTTGGGGCTGATTTTTGAGAGGTTAAGGTGAGGGAGCAATTGGTGGTTGTGGGTTGGGTGGGTTGTGGCGATGTTGTGGCTGATTCTAAGGTGAGGTTGAATTTAATTTGGAATTTAGGGAGTTGGTGGTTCTAGGTTGAGAGCTTCAATTAGTGAGGAAGAAAGAGAAGAGTTGAGGGGAAAATAGGAAAGATAAGAGATTTTGGCTATTGGATTTGTATCAATGGATGAGACCCATCGGCCCGGAAGATCTCCACAATATTGATCTGGGGAGAATCTAAATCCGTATTTATAATAACTTAAGCTTATATGATAATTATGGAGAGAGAAAGAAAGAGAAGGATAGAATAGTCAAATTCTAACTAGTTATAATGACTTAAAGCCCATGTGGCGTTCATCATTGAACATATGCCTAATTAATAAAAATATATCATTGATTAAGTCCAAAACAAAAATATATCATTGATTAAGTCCAAAACAAAAATATATCATTGATATATGGCTTAATAGTAAAGTTTTTATTGACTTTTGGTTAAATTACCTTATATACCTTACACACACACACACACACGTTGAACATTATCATACAATTAGACAGTACTTGACCCTAAAAACTTAAGTTTCTTTTCAAAAATATAACAATGATTTATATCAAGCTAACAATTCTAGCTGCAAATTTTCATTTAACGTAAAATTGGATTTTATTTTAGAAGACATTAAACAACGTCGCAACATCAAACGGAACGTCCTAAAATTTGACAAGGAAAAACTTGTTGGTAATTTTTTACCTTCTTTAGTGTGCATCGTGGGTACTAGAAATTTCCACAGTTGGAAATTGAAAGAATACCAAACCACCCAAAAGAAAATGCAATCATGATTGTCCTTTGGACTCTGGATTCATAAAGCAAAAATATCAAATACTGATTACATGTCACCTTCGTTAGAACAGGGCTACTGTCATGTTTGCAATCTCACTGAGAAGGATTACAATATAATCCTGCTGGCCAAGGTTTTTAAAATTAAATTAAATCACCCAATCTGGAAATTTTTAAATGTGAAAGCTTCATCTTCTGCATGGCAATTTCTACTTGGGCATGCATGTATGTCATCAACGTATAATAGCAAGATCACCATAGAACCGCCAACAGATGAATTTGCATATGTGGATTTGAACCTCAAAGATGGCAGAAAACTAGTGAATCTCTCATTTCATGCCCTTGGTGTCTGTTTCAATCCATATAAGGATTTATCTAATCGGCAAAAATAGTCTTCATGTTTGGTATCAACAAATCTAGGTGGTTGTGCCATGTACACATCTTCTTGCAAGATGCCATGTAGAAAGACATTTTTCACATCCAATTGTCTTAGTGTCCAACTAAAATGTGCAGATAAAGCTAGAACTAATCTCACTGTTGTTGGTTTAACAACTGGGCTAAATGTCTCTCCATAGTCAATACCTTCTTCTTAATTAAACCCTTTAGCCACCAGTCTTGCCTTATACATCTGAATTGAACCATCAACATTCTTCTTGATCTTAAAGACCCATTTACAACCTACTAATCTCGCTGAAACAAAATCCATGGGCATAAGATCAAGAACTCACTCGTTGTCATGAGGAGCTGCATGCCACCGTTGTCGATTACTGGATAAACACAACCGGCCATGGAGGCAGAGATCACCACCGCAAGCAGGGCACCAAGATCACATAGCAGCCAAGCAAAAATCAAATCCCTAACATAAGAGCTAACCTCTAATAAGGTAGTTTTGTAGAACATCAATAATTAAATTTAATAACTTAATGTGTCACGACTCACAAGGATGTGAATAAAGGCAAGTGTATATAGAATTTATCAAGAATATGGTGGATAATAATTTCAAAATTATTCTACAAGCCTTGCGACACTAAACTAAGAAAAAAAGCATAAAAAGATCAATGATAAGTCTATAGTTCATATTACATTGTAAATATATCATTGCTAGCTGCCTTGTAGCAAGGCTTAAACGTCGGCAGATCCTTTAGCTAAATTTGGTAAGCTATTGAAAGAGTCACCCATTGGTTACTGAATGCATCACTTAAAGTTGGGCCAAGGCAACTGTATTAGGTGGACATTCATTGGACAAATATTAATTATATTTTTTTTTATGTTTATGTTTATTTTTTTTATTTTTAATACACACAATTTGTTTTGAACTGACCATTAAAGAGAATTGAATTAAGACATTTTACTTGCAAGTCAAGAAGAATACTACTAAATAAAAAAAAAAAAAC